TATATGCTTTTTAATCACATTGAGTTTAGATTCGCGTCGCAGGATTTTTCCACCTAGAAACGAGCCAGAACCAATCCGATTTCCTTACTTGGCATCTTCCGTACAGATATGTACATAAAACAGGACCTAAAATATTTAATAGCCCTTTGAGAGGGCCAACTTTTCCAAAAATTTTCCGCAAAGTTATCACGCAACTTGAGACATTTGTCCTTTAACAAGAGAATTTATTTGCTATAGTACAGAACATACATCTAAGTCTTCAGCTAGTTTATCGAAGCTGCTAGAATTTATAGAATAGAATAGGTAACCCAATGATTATTAGTAGTTGCACGCATCTCGTGATTGGCTTATCAAGAAACTATTCATAACAACGCATGAACATTTCAGTCCCTAAATGAATGGGTGATAAGGATCATATATGGAAAAAAAGATACATACAAAAAAAAGCAACATTTACATAAAGACTCACTATTAACTCGATTTAAAAGAAAAGGTAACTTATAATAAAATCGAAATTAAGGTAATTTCATTTGTGTACGCGGTACCAATGGTTGCCAGGAAGACCTGTTCTAGGAACGGTTCTAGCCTTATAGTTGCTGATCAGAATAACTTTTTTGGCCTTGGGCCAGAAGGCGACATCTTAATAATAACAGCGTCTCACGAAACGGTATCTCAGAGACACGAGTAGCTCATCCGGAATGGGTCTGACTTGCGACAATGATTAGCAATTCCAAGCGAAATGTGGGAAGCTGAACCGGCCTTCGTCTCAGAAAACGAAGTTCTAGCCAAACCGTCAGCGACTATTAAAGTTCACTAAAGTAAAGAAAGTTGCAAAGATCAACGACATAACGAATGCTTTGGGAAGATTTGAATCAAATGAACATTTACATGGGAAAACTGAACAAAAATTGTAAGTCACATACTCCACCCAAAGGTAAAAGAACAACTACCTTCTTTCGGATTCAGTTCACGGGGATTAAGTCGGTATTACCGTCTTTTCAAGTTTTGTAAAGGAATAAGGGGATAGATTTTGTTGGTTAGAACATTAGATATGGTGAAACAATGAGGAATTTCCGAGAGGCTCACTCACTCCAAGCACTAAAACTAAACTAGCCCTGAACGTACGTACAAAACAGTTTAAAACGCTTTCCATTAAGATTCATGAGTGAACCTTTATTTAAACGAAATATTATGTGCAATACTCGTTCGCTAGAGCAAGCTTTATTTTAGATCTGCATTTACAAAATTAAGATTCTTTAATAAGTCTAACAATGTAATCTTCGTTCGATCACAGATTGCTATCTTTGCCTGACGAAGCAGAGTTTCTCTTGTACTCAGGCAACGATTTGATCTTTTCCTGCGTATGCTATTACATACAGCGCTCGATAGCTGTCCTGAGTGTCCGGAACATCCAAGCTACACGAGGACTCCATCGTTTTCGGTTTGACGAAAAAAAAGCCGTCACCGGTTTCACCTTTGACTCTTTTTTTGTCCTGAATTTGACGAGTGTCTGTTTTCTATGTTACAGGGACTCTATGAGCTTAATTTGCTCGAAAATCGACATAACTTAAGGCGAACGCCACCTGGAAGATCGCCATCGGCAACAGGATTTACCGCATCCCGGAAATAATTATGTACAATAGAAATTAAGTAGGAGCATCCTTCTAGTTTTTGCATAGCTGTTGTTCCCTCCTTCGTGCATATCTGACGTGCACGCCTATCCTACGACATTTAAATTGTTACCTCTACCTTCTTTACACTGTACACGAGTGTAGAGATACCCGAGGTTCTGGTGAACTGGCTTGTCACACGCCATATTCGAATGGAGTTCCTCAGAGTTCTCCAAAGCTCTTGATTGTTGCCGTTAAAGCCAGCTATTTTAAATCGCGTTACTAGTTTTTCTCCGTAGATTGTGAAATCGCACGCTTCTTACGTTGATCTATATGCAATAACGAACAACAGGTCCATCGTCGCGTCCTACCTACCTACTTGAACAAACTAGAATCGTTCCTTTAACGCACGTACGATTACGTTTAGTAGTTCCACAACTTCGAGTAATCCAACGCATATGAGACGTCTTTAACGTTAATCATTGTTTTTTTACAGCATTTTCATAAAACAGCAAGTGCGTCCATATTCATGTTATTATTGCTGGAAATCACAAAAGCTCACTGATACTCTAATTATATCGTAGAAATGAGCTGCGAGTCCTGTAGGCGAGCCACAAAAAGTCAGAACGTATCCAGTCTGTAAAATTTGATTCTTTCTTGACAGATTACACCCGTTCATTTAGCTATCTAACTATCTATCTAACTAACTACAAGTGAGTTCGTTTTCCGCGGTCCGTTTTCTACTCGTGTCAAACATGATGGGTTGCTTCATTGACCTCCTGAATGTTGGCGTATATGGGCTGACTAGAGTCACCACTGTTATCGTACAAATTGTCGCTATAGATATTTTGCTGGTGTTGTAGTGCTATGGGGGGCGTGTTGAATGTAACAAATTGATTCGATGGATGATTCGGAGGAAGCGGTGGAGGCGTGACGTTAGCGTACTCAGCCATTGAGGCCATCGCAGCCATATTCATGTTTGTCATCCCTAGGCCCGACGCTGGTCCGTCGTAAGGACCTCCGCGTTGAGTGGTTGCCTGGTAGTTGTTCTTTGGCGAGGACACCACGTTATTCTTGCCAACATAGCGAGCTCGAGCATGACTGCAACGCATAGAAAGTCAGCTTAGTTTTTTTATGTCACATTTTTCTATCTTAAAGGTCTCAATGCCGCAGGAATCCTACGTAGTACTGTCAAATTGAAACACGTCGATAGATTATATAGGATGCTAGCATTCACAATTTCTCTTAGATTTTTACGCTCGGTGCTGCCTTTAGGAAGAATGTTTAGTCTGGGGCATTGATTTATCGCTGGAGCAGCACAGAGCGTCCAGAAGCAAACCGGATCTCAAAAGAATGTACTTGAAACTTACATGTTAACCGGGGGACTTGGCTTATGCTTCATCCAGACCCAAGCAGCTCCAATGAAAACAGCCACTAGCAAAAGGCCTCCAACAGCCAATGAAATTCCAATTGAATTCGAGGTCTGCTCATCGTAGTGTGGTATAATGCGTAGAGTATCGACGTCATTGACGCGATCGGGTTCACGATCGATGCACGTTGGCTCGCGACCGCTCCACGTCGCATTGGCCAAGCACACCCTTAATGAAGCGCCGATGAGCATCTTATCATGCAGGCATTCATACTCAACGTGAGAGTTGAATGTCGTAGAGCCGTTAACCAGCAGGCCGCGTCCGTGCTACACCAAACATTTACGAGAAAAACTCAGATTTACGTGAAACAGCCTCCAGAAAGTCCATCAAACGTGAAAAGACATGATATAACAACAAAGTGATAAAGAAATTCACCGTTCTGATAGTTTGCTCATATTCACAGGAAAAACAATACAAATTATATTAAAGTACAGTCAGTACTACATCATAAACTTAGTAGCAATAGGGTTGAGTAGCGTTTTATTGACCATAACAGAAATAGACGCAAAATTCGCAGAGCCCTTTAAATATCTTTGGGTACGTTGGACGTTATAATTAAAGAAAATGTTACAAATGATACCGGTATAAGGTCTGGTCGGCCGCAATCAATGACACTGCAGAAAGGGACTCCTGGAGGATCCCAGCGGCCGTTTACGCGACAGACACGTACTGGATCAGCACCCACAATGCGATAGCCGTCCTGACATGAATAGCTTGCGACGGCACCCACGTTGTTCGATGACACCTGTTTAACAAAGCACGTCATTAGAAAACGAGAGAAGACTTATCGAAACCACCGACTCTAGCCAATAGGACGGAGGCAAAAGAACTATCTAATAAGGATTCAAGATGTATTTTGAGGTCATGCAGCATCCATCCGCGTTCGTTCGCGAGCACGTAACGTGCCCCTTGGAATGCCAAATACATGCTTGTTCCACTGCGAAAACCAAAATACACAAATGTTGAAATGTTTATTACCCAATTAGATACGTCAGTTTTTTTCGATTGTAGGTTGTCCCGTTCATACGCTGGCCCACGGATCATAGCCTAATGAATGACATGCATGAAATCCTTAACGTCGCCATTGACTAACCTATCCTACAAGGTCGATAGATGTGTTTAGTACTTTACATTCAGATCAAAACTGTCATCTATGATACGAGTCTGCACAGATATCGCGTGAAAGGTCTAAAGAAAACCTAATCGTTGAACAGGTGGATGGAATCAGCGTTAATTTCATAGAAAGCTCGCGCTAATATTGGATTTGCTGCTGATGTTTCAGCGTTTAATGTTTGTGATGAGCAGAATTGTCGTGACTATGAAGCGCCTTTAGTCACCATGACAGGACTGATTTCGTGACGATCCGAAATATATTCAGCGAGATGGGAACTACATTATATGTAGTCGTAAAATCGCGTGACCATGGTTACTTCAGGCCTGTATCGTACATCTTGTCATTGTCGTTGTTGTTGGTGCATGATGTGAGGTAACCTAGTCGCTCGTGATGTTACCATACAGTTTTAGAAGGCGGTACTACTGCGAAGATAAGATGAATTAAAAGCACATCCTAAAGGCGAAAGCGGACTCATGCAAATGTTTATTCAGGAGGATCGAATTTATTATTGTTATCTTTGTCACGATTTTCACTAAATCGGAAATTTATGTTGCGTCTTGGTGTGTAGAAATAATGTAATAGATCACATGCGAAAAAGAACCTGTAGCACATGTTAAAAGCAAAGATGACAGGTGGCTGTGACTATATGTGTGCGGTGCTAATTAGATATGCGCATTTGGCTGGTTTGAAGCGTAGTAAATAACTATACATTTTCTTGTTTTATCAATTTTTTGTGTTTATTAGATCTGTTTTTAATAGACGATGATAGACAGGTCACAAAAAAGCTCGAGAGACCTTTTAGATCTCAAATAATACATGTACGACGTATCTAATTTAAGAGTAAAATAGGGAAACAAACAAGTTTACAAACGCTGTTCTAATCGCACAATTATGAATCAGGAAGACAGATATTCCATAAAAATCCTATTCTTTAGATTATATCGGGATGCGAAGTAAATAGATATGTGATGTAGCTGCCAAACTTCAAGCTGCCTTGTAATACAAGTTTTGAGAGGATATATCTTGGAATATAAAGAACGACTTAAAAAACAGTTACAGGATTCGAAACCACAGCCGGGAAGAAACCGACAGAAGTTGGAAGTGCAAAACTGCCGTATTCATAAATGTCAACTTTTCGAAATAAGCTGCACTAAACTTTCGAAATTGTGTTACTGCTCGTTGCTGTAGCAGGTGACGCCATCTGGGAACAGGTCACCGTTGGTTTTATAACAATGGCGGTCTTTTTCACAATCGACATGGCATATCGAATGGTACGCGGAGCTATAATGTTTATATCAACGTATGCATTAGCGAGCTTCGTCCTATAGCTCTGTTTGACCTCGTCAGAAGCCAGCGTTGAATTTATTTTAACTTCCGACGTGGTAAGCTCTATTTCCTTCACACTTGCCGACGTTGTTGTTGTTAACAGGTCTGGTGCGTTCGTTACGATAGTGGTATTACTGTCGACTGAACTGCTGTCGGGAGATAGATGCAAATTTGAGACAGGGAAGGTTATTAGAGTAACCGAAAGAAGTATAGGGGTGCTAGAATGAGAAGCACGACTGGGATGAAATAAGCCAGGTGTTATCATTGAACTATGGAGCGCGGTGATCGCAGCTGCTGCCAGGGTAGTGTTGAGAGAACGGTTCAAGGTGGGATCTTTAGAGACGCAGCGACTTGAGGAAGATGTTTTGGCTTCCCGTGGTGAGGTTGTCATGACCGACGCTGAAGGTGGACCTGATGGTAGTCTGGTCGTGTTCTGGGATGTAATCTTGTTCTGGCAGTTGATGCGCACGTCAACCGCGTCCACCATATTCAGTGTATCATCGTTGGCGACGCTCTGCAGATGCAGAAGTTCAGCCTCCGTCGGTAAGTAATTAGCATGAATAGGTGCCCACAGGCTTCATGTATGCGCATAATTTCGGAGTTGCCGAAATGCAATAGGCGCTATAGAAGAATCACGGATAAATAAAAAGATGCGACGAACAAACACTTGATGGAAAAACCCAGAGGAAAAGTGAACTAGGAAGATAATTGACGTGTGCGGGACAAAAGGGTAGTAACAGTCTAGCAACGTTAGTCTAAACTATTTGCCAATTAGACATGTATGCATAGAGATTTGCTGAAAGGAAGTAAATGCTAGCTGAAAATGGACTTGACGTTAATGGTCAGCAAATATCTTCAACTTAGTGAACCTAACTATTTTATGCTGTACGCTATCAATTCGGGAGGATATAAGCTGTATAATCGAAACAAGTAATAATAATTCTTTAAAGGAAGATAGATATAATAAACAGGCATGGATAATAACTTTTTTTCTTATAGACCATTTCTGTCTAAACATTTCGAAGTTCACGTCCAATGATGATTTGAATACTTACCTCAATAAGGAGTCGGTCATCGTTCCGAGGGGGATCGGGGCAGATCACTTCGACGCACACGGGCTCGCTTCCTGACCAGGTACCATTTTCAAGACAGAGCCTGCGTTCGGCCCCATTACCCAACCGATAGCCATCATCACAACGGTATTCCACAAGAGAACCGTAATGAGTTGTCTGAGATTCAGCTACACCGTTTGATATCGGGGGAGGCTTACCACACTCAATATCTGTTGGCACAGGAAGACTATCGTAAGGAACAAATTATCGCATATATATCTACGCTAACCAAAAGCCGATACAATTTTTTTTTTTTCGCTTCATAGTACTTATTTTTCTTTCATATATCGCTATATTTTATATGCTTTTTAAATAGATGTAATCAACTTTATTATAACTGCATCAGTGTAGGCAGATGTATTTTATCTCTATATACGTACTGTAATCCACGTTCTAAAAGCGTGTGACAAGACGATTAGAGCATCAACACAGAACAAAAATTGTTAATATATATTTAGTTCCTAGTAGCGATTCGGGTTATTTTCACAGCATTTGATTTGTGGTAATAGATAATCGATATATCTTGCATCTGTTTAGCCTATACTTTTATTGCCCATTAGTATTAATTGATACCAAGGAATCACTTGATCCTATTTCAGGTAAGTTGACTCTAACTTTAGAAAACTTACAGTGGCATGTGGGCGGTTCGGTCCCATCCCATTCACCAGTGGACAGACACGTCCGCAGCGCTATCCCTTCAATAATATGGCCAGCCATACATTTATACATGACACTAGAACCGACCCGAAACGAGTCAATGGACGAACGATCATTGTTCGAATACAGAACCGTAGTGTTTGGCGCCACTTCCGGTGGAGCGCAACGTATCTCTTCGCATCTGGGCGACACGCCTGTCCAACGACCATCAGTGCCACAAACTCGGGTCTCAGATCCGACGAGTCGATAGCCGTTCGTACACGAGTGCGTGATAACGGAGTCCAGCGTCGTCGTCGAATCATTCAGGTATTTGATTTCTCCTTTGAGAATGGGCGGGAGTCTGCCACAATCGACGAGCTGGCAGTGCAAGAGCGTGCCTGACCATAGACCACTTTTGAGACACGTGCGTGTCAGATCACCGGACATCAACTTGAATCCGGCCAAACAGCCATATTCAACGTTCGAGTGAACATGGATGTTCACCCGTTCACCTGTAATGGCGTCGGCTTTAATATAGGCGCCATTAGGAATCGGTGGCGGTGGGCATGCAATGATTTTGCACTCCGGCTCACGACCTGACCATATACCGCGTTCATTGCATGTGCGAGTCACGTCTCCGTTGACCAGCGTATAGTCGTTACTGCACGAATAGGTCACAACTGAGAGGTAGTTCCAGGTGCTATTAATGAAGTTAACGTTGCCATTGTCTGGCGGTGAAGGTTTGCCACAATCAACGTAGCGACAGGATGGGGCCGTGGCTAGAAGGTGATCAAACGACAGGGTTAATTAACCACAGGACAATGAAGCTGAAGCTCGGAATGGGTGTTCGGAGAGATCGTTTTTTGCAGCTTGCCAAGTAAACAGCTTCGAAATAAGGAGAAAAGGTGATTGATAAAACATTGCAGACCCACATGGTTCGAAATAATAAGAGGAAGGTGAAGGATCTGATATATTAAGCAGACTTCAAAGTGGAAATGGGCAACCCTATAGTAGGCTGTTATACCATCAAAAGGTTTAGATTTTCAGCCGTTGTCTGTCTACCTATTCATGTGTCGATTAAATGTCGTTGACAAGGCATACTTTTTAAAATCAAAAACACTCTCGAATATAATTTCTGAAAAAAAACGATTTGGAAGAGGAACATATCTCAGCAAAATTATATTTGTGCTGGGTGTATAGCCTTTATAAGTACTAACATGTCCACTGCCCACCGAGCATGCATTTTCTCCTGCCAACGCCCACGAGAGCATGACCTCGCTGGCACGAATAAACGGCTTCTTGGCCTGCTTTGACGCCCTCCAGCTGAATCGAACCATTTACAGGTGGACTGAGTGTGCCGCAGAAGTTTAGTTGACACTTGGGCTCTTGCCCCGTCCAAAAGCCCGTTTTAGCACAGCGTCGGGTATCTTCGCCGGTCAATGTGTAATTGGCGTCACAAATATATTCGGCGGTGGCGTTGAACGTTGTTCGAAGATCCCGAAGTAGTGCCTTTCCGTTGGGGATATGCTTAAGCGGGCCGCAGTCAATATGTTTGCATGTCGGAGCACTTCCACTCCAGAAGCCGCTTTTCTGACACGTGCGTTCTGCATCGCCCTGAATCACACTGCCAATAGGACAGTCGTATTTAACCGTGCGCAGTACGCCGAAATCTTTGCCAACTAACGTTGAATTCTCAGAGACGTCGGGACTACCGCAGCGAACAGGTTCTGTTAAACAAATGGATCATTAGCGAAATGAAAATGTTCCTACGCGCTCCTTTGAAACCTTCATACTATTTACTTGGAACACACGTAAAGCCTGCATAGGGAAAAGGCATTCCTCCTTACAGAAATAAGACAGTCTGATGAGACCGAGGTAGACTCGGACAAAAAAATTGTACAACTGTTACTAGTTAACTAAATATATTCATCGAACTATGGCGGTGATCTATAGATTGCCTCAGTGGCTTGAGTCTACTCACCGTATTGACAGATCCACGGTAAGTAATCGAGATCACAATTGAAATCATTAAACATCCAACTGAGCTTTTGGTCCAGTACAATACAATTTTGTTGTTTGTTATAGTTGTTTGGCTGGCCCTCTCCCCAAAGGAGACCGCCGGATGGAATAGGTTCATTATTGCTCCAGAACCAGCCTCGTCGGCCGGGTCCTATCCCTCGTTTGAGCGTCGCGCCAATCCAAACAAGGCCTTGGTTCAACTGATTATTATTACTGCGACGCGTGAGCTCGCTCCCGATGAAAGGTAGCGTCCGTCTGTATACAAGGGTGCCAAACAAAAACCGTTACGGATTTATTATAGTGGAGTATTTGAAAAACCTTTCAAATACACAAATATAAAATTCCTTCATACAGAAGCTCATAACAGTCTCTTTATACAAAGCCTTTTCAGATACAGATTGCTGTGGTTCTCTTTTTTCTAAATGAACTTGTCAGTTAATAAAGCAACATTGGAAACAAGGGGGCTTTAATTAAGACATTCACTATTTAGTCACTACTTATTAGTTTATTTAACGTCAAGCAAAATCAGAATCACCTGCAGTGTCGAAAGGTAGGTATTAGTGCCGAACTCAACGTTCACATGCGTTTAATTTACTCACCTGTCAATATTGTACATAAGCAGTCCGCCCCTCTTCTCGCAGTGTTCCTCAGCCAATTTCCTGCTTCCGCCCTGCAGGTGGAACTCGTAGCAGTTACGCAGGATCGAGACGACATCGTCAAAGTGTCCGCACATTCCTACGGAGAGCTCCTGCGTGGAAAACACCTGAACTTCGCAGAGTGACAGGGATCCGTCACCTCCGACCATCTGAACAGAGACATACCGTCCGTTGATGGGATAGGCACAGACGAACTCCTTCATTGCGCCATCTTCGAGAATACCAGGAAACCAAGCACACAAACGTGAGCCTGTCAACGAACTCGAGTTGGAAACTCGAATCTCGATATCATGTAGAGGTTGATGTCCACAACAGCCCCGAGTGAGTATCCGAACTACCCGAACTTCGTACGCCTGCAAGAGGTCTACCTGCCACCAAGGCGAATTTTCGACTCTGGTTTCCGTACACACGGGTTTTTCACCAACGGTAGAGAGGTCGCCGTCGTTAGCCAACTTGGCGGCCGCCAAATTTTTTGTCGATATGCTCGATTGTTTCGATGGCTTATTTAGAGCCACATTTGTCGCTGTCAACAAACACAACGATTTTCATATTATTAGTCTATGTGATCGCGCTAAAATTGAGGGTGCTGTGAGATAGGTACAAAATAGTAGAAGGAGGCTGTACTCATCTTTGTAGTGCTAGACATCTGAGAAGCAACGAGGTAATATTTTTAACAGAAAGTAAACTTTAATATACATGTCGAAAGCTACCGTAATAAATGCAATAAGGTCGTCCATGCACGGAACTATGCACGATAAATGTATGGTTAAACAAACAATCCCACATGCATAAGAAATTGATAAGTATAATACGTACCGCAATAGGGCATTCGGCCTTGCCATCTTCCACCTTCACATATTCGCATTGCAGGACCGAAAAGCTCGTAACCAGTATCACAGCTATAGTTCGCTTTTGATTCACTAGCTGACATCTGTAGATGAACCGTAGAATAGAGTGGAACAGCTGGCGGGGGACAAGATTGTGCTGCGAGTTTGGATCGAGCAAAAAACCGGGAATAAGAAAAAGCAAGGCAGCGACTTGTTAGACATTCGATATCATTAATCAATTAAACCAAGCCACTAAATTAGAGTTAGGAAATAAGAAGACAACCGAGTTACTATTAAATTGGCCCTTGACAACATATGTGACATATAATTGTTTATCGTTACGGGAACCCAAAAGAAATCAGACAAGTCTGTTTGATGTGTTGATGCAATTTTCCTTAGTTAGACAGTTTTTCACGCTACTATAAACACAACCAAGTGCATCGCGTGTGTAATTGTAAAATTACTCTCTTCTAAAGAAAACAACAGAGAATTTCCTTGCCGAGAGAACAGAATCTCCGCTGGGCCCTTCGTGACCACGCTTGACTATCTCAATATAATAACGTGCTCGTCATTTTCGTCTGCTAGAGCCTTGTTTTCAGCCGTGTCGCGTGGCGTTGGTTGCATAATAGTCTACATTTGGAAACGTTTACCTCGCAGTGTGGGAACGAACATTTCACTAAGTAGAGAGGAACTTTGGCAAGGCCGAGCGAATTAGAATAATAGTAAAACTGACAAGACACGAGCCGAAGATAACCAAGTGACGCTGGAAGCTACTTGTGTCAGGACAACCTAAATAAACACACCACCTACTTGTTATCGGGAAGGAAAAAAGTAACAGTAGGAACGTGAACGCTAAATAAAACGTCATTGAATATTATGGATAATGGGTTAGTGGATATGAAAGACGATATCATTAACAGAGTGTCTGTACACATTATTTGTAAACATTTAATTAAGGTACGTGAAGACAACACAAGAAATAGTCGTAAAGATCAGCGATAACCGTAGGTTTTCTTTATGTATTTCTTGAAGCTTAACGTGTAAAAACGCATAGAACTTACTATTTAGTATGCTCTATTTTCACTTATTATTTAATAATCATCACGTGGATCATGCACCGAAATGTTTCAACAAGCTCAATTGCTTTGCAATTAAGGTTACGAAGCTCAAAAAGGTATTCGAGAATATTTTGTCTATACTTTTGTTTTGGGAAAATTTGTATCTAGATCACGTTGTGCTCCTAGTTAATATTTTTAGAATCAATTTCAAGCAGACAACTTGCTTCGCAGTGTAACTTCACAAAATGTTACTTCCAAAAAAAACTATTTATAATATATCAATATGCCACCACACGAAATATATATACTTAGTCGTATATCTAATAGTAATGAGCGTTTTATAATTTGCTTTGTAAAAGTTCGCAGGCTATAATCATTCGATAAATAGTGTTCGGTTGCCCACGCTAAACAAATCAGAGTAAGTTATTATATTTGAAACGCTTACCCAATCGTCGCTACTTGTTACTAGGTAAATAACTTAACAATTACGCGATTGAAGCAAATTCCAGCTACGAGCGATCATTGTACTCATTGTGTCAGAACGATCGATGAAAACAATTTTCCCCACACGCCCGAAATGTTCAAGCCTATGGATTGGTCTCTATCTTAGTTTGGAAACCTATGTAGCACCGTATCGGGGTCATAAACAATTTAATAAACAAATTAGGACTAGACATTCATATTTATGCGTCTGCGTTTTAAATGCGACCAGCGTCACCTTAAAGACATTTTGTTGACCACTTACGCTTCCAAGTATCTCTGGAAAAAGGATCGATCCACTCGTCCATAAAATTTATAAACCCAGCATTTAATGGTTAAAAAACAAGCATATATATTTGTACAAGACCTCAAATATGAATAATATATAGAGCGGCGTGCATAAACTGCGAATTTTCTTCATATTTTTGTTTCTAGGATTGTGTCTAATAGCAAGAACAGATAGTTCAGTATATTGTTTTTCCTATTCTATAAGTGTTATTCCCGGTAGATGTTTTTATTTATTTATATTTTTTATGCACCTTTATTGAAGGTCACCACTATTCATCACGAATACAGCTTTAATCCGAAATGTAGATCACCCACTAGTAGTTTTTTTGGAATTATTCCTACTCTATTTTATTGCAGAACGTTTTCGAAATAACTGTGCATCGAATGGTATCCGTGGGTGTTGAATCATTAAAGGGTCGTGCAGACTTTAGTGGAACTAGCTTTTAGATTGATAGCGTGTTAAAGCTCGTAAAAATTCGAAGGCTCAAAGCCGCCAAAAAGTTCAAAAGATATAAAAAAGTGTAAACTCCCAAAATGGCTAACCACCGTATCTTACTAGAACGGCCAAATCGGTAACTGGTATTTTCCTCTTTAAAATAGCTGATAGTTTCGGTACAAATATCCAGGTGTGTTGCAAGTAGCTTTACGAGCCGCTTCGATGAATTTTTAAGCTCGCTATATCATAACCCTATCAAGGATCTTCTGATTTAACTCATATAAATTTTTTCGGATTTGCAAAATCGATATGATAATAGCATAAATCGTCGTTTTCGATTAAGAAATAAGGTTCAAAGTTTCATTGAAACTTTTCCCACAGCAAAGAGACTTCTTATTGCTGTTGATGTGCACTAAAATTCCGTGAACGATGCGCTGCTGTATACCATAGTGGGTTTATTGTTTTGTTCTATGAAGCATTGGTTTTCGTCTGATTCCAGAAGTAGCAGAACATGAGGAACAGCAAGCAATAGTGAACTACTTAGCCCAATAGTGATTGCAGTAGCAATAATAACACCAAGAGTTCTCGTAACATGAGTGTGTCACAGGCAATTGCACGGAGGGAGTAGTTGCAATTACTGATTTTAGCGCTAGTGTAAAAAGTTTCTCTTCAGCTAACATCACCTTCGAATTGAACCATTTGCAACTACACAGGCAACTCCGAAAAAGCGGGTAAGACCACCAGTTGCTACTGCTGTCCTGATCATCTGTGGCCATCTGTTCGGGGTAACGGACAGCGGGGAGCAGATAGCCGGTAGCTGATACGAGTACGCGGTTCCTGCGTCCCAAAATCCCTACGCCGTCATAGATAGGTTTTCGTTACCACCACTCATACGATTGGTGGCGATAGTAAAATAGGCCGATAATGATAGTTGAATTCGATTTAATACTCCACTGGTTACTGGTGTCGATGTCCCGCAACAGCAACTTCGGTGCCGGTCGTTCCCAATCAGGCTCAGTTCTCAGGCCAGCTTATGTCTTATGTTGAGCATCGAACTGATTAATGATACAGCAACAATATTTAACAATTACTTGGTCCAACAGTCAACGGACATATCGGCGTAGCAAACCACTCGTTGTAATAAACTATTTTGTTCGTTACGTCAAAGTGACGAAAGCGTTTGCTGAATTACGACAACACTATTTGCCGACAACTTTAACTTATTGCCTTTTCAAAAATTTATCCTATTATGTTATTGTTGTATCTTCCCTATGTGTTGTGTACCTAACAAGCAAAAATCGATAAAGGTTAATTTTATTGTTAGCCTTTTCGAGTGAGATGGTCCAAAAGGGGAAACGTAACAGAGTAAGCTAACGGCTAAGTAAGTTAACGGCATTTGAGAGCGGCCTTCCTAATTTTATTTCGACTATTTTTCTTTGTATGTACGCTTAGCACAGCTTTGATTGTCATAATGGAACAATAAGAATATGGCTGGCGACTCACGCGTGACATAATTGTTATAATAACTATAGTTTTGTACGAGGACCCCCTGTATCTACAAAGTGTTTGTTCCGAATTTAAAAGGTAAAAAAATAGTGGCCGTGTTATGTTTGTGCGTATATAATCATATGCATTATAGCTATGGATATCGTTCAGGTTTCAGATAAGATGTTCACCGATTGTTGGATAAATTTTGCATATTTTCAATGCCGATCTATTAGGTGCTCGGTATGCAAACAGTCCTTTTAGGCTGGGTTCTCTTCAATACCTATTAAATCTAAAATGATAAATCCTAAAAATGATTATAAAACTTTTCAATAAGCGGGGAGGCAAGAATCTGAACCAGCCTTGTTTGATTGGGCATTTCACTCAAGTTGACAGTTGCCACATGGTGGCAATTATTTTTCTGGCGTATAGTTTTTAGTAGCGAAAAAAATCATCTAGCTCGTCCATATTTAGTAGAGCTAGTGAAGTACTGTCCAATATACATATCTGTAGTTACTGTTATTGGCAACAAGTACTCGTTGCATGAACAAATTTAACAGGCCAATTTCCCTACCTACAAATCTACAACGACTACTTATCATAATCAAAAGACGCTGGCCTGCAGTTTTCATCATCTCGGCTACACCATATAAATTTTAATTTATGAATTTCATCAGTTTCCTCAATCGTATCCTATAGAGTCCCCACTAGTAAAACAAACTGGAATATAACAGCATTCGTGATACATGTATGGTTACATGAAATTTGTCTAAGATTAGTAAGAAAAGAGATATGGTTCCCAGAGGATCGTTTCGGCTGCGGAAGGGAAGCGTGTGCTTGCTTGATGTCAACACATAGGTAATCATCTATTATAGTATATGTTAATTGGAAATATTAAGGAGATTCCTATATATATATATATATATATATATATATATATACATTTTCGGCGTTCCCGTTACGGTCTTGATCCTAAGCCAAGCAGAAAGGTAAACGACAGATCGAAAGATTGCTTTTATATATGACAAGTCGAGGTCAAATCTACTTTTTTGCAATGGTTACCTCCACCATGGTGATGTAACCAACGAATACAGACAGAATAGCAAACGACTGGAAATAACGAAAAATGTTGGCAAGTAGTAAAATTTGCCCACTTTTTTTAAACGAACACAAAAAATTACTTGAAAACGCACTATCGTAATTTAACAACCAGCCCATTTAGATTTGGTGCGAAGGTATACTTTGCATTTAAAGGGCATTTTTCGGGGTAAAGGTGAATCGAAAGGTTTGCATTTATTGCTGTAAATTTAACTTGAACTTATTTCATTCGCCCCCCGCTAAGCAGTTATTTGCCACAATACAACTGGATAGCGCTTCACCAGCATGCGTGTACAATGAAAGCTTGCGATT